TCTCTATGGCTCTGACCTGATCGGATGTTTACACAGAGTTTTAACAGGACAGATTTCAGATGTGAAGAAAGCTGCACAACATGTCATGTAAGTGTGTGTGTGTGTGTGTGTGAGATAAACATGTGTACCGCTGTTTTTAGTTGTTTCTTCTTCTATGATTTTCCAGCGAGTAAAGAGTGAAGCTCTCAATACAATGACAGATGAACCATGATGAACATCTGGCAGCCTAGTGACGTGGTTAACGCATTGATGGGAGGTGCTACACAAATAAAGTTTATCATAATAATAATAATGATCATTGTTATCATTATTAAATGCTCCCGACATGACGAGACACCAGCTCACTGATCCCCTCGAGCCCTCGCAGCTGTATGAAGTCACTGCACATCTGTCAGGAGGCTAACGGCTAACACATCTGTCAGGAGGCTAACGGCTACACCGAGCTCACCGTTAGCCAGTTAGCTTCTGGTGCTGTGCTGACGGCGGCGTTTAGCGCGTTCTTTACCCGTCGAAGAGGCTGCTTCGGTCGGTTGGATTTCCCCAAACAGTCCCCCCCGATGGTGTCGGTGTCCTGGTCGCTTTCACTTCCCGACTCTTGTGTTTCCTCTTCGTCCGCTCGACACGGATCCTTCCACTTCCTGTCCCGAGCAATTTTAACTTCCTGCTAAACCCGGAGGCTGCAGCGCCCCCTAACGTCGTGTTACGTCATTACGAAAACACTCGAGTGAAGTTTATCCCACCTGGTTTATCTGCACTGAAGAGAAAGTTTAAAAAGTTTACTCCACCCGAGCACTACTTTCTGTCTTGCTACTAAACTGAGTAGCTGAAAGTTATGTACTGGGAAATGTGGGGAATTAGCAGAATTGGTTCCAGTTGAATAAACATGGAGTTTTTATCAAGTCTACACCTTAGTTTATGATTAAGTAATGATTGCGGGTGATTTTAATATTCATGATATATATACGTAACAATTGTTGAAGATTTATCTCATTGGTATTTTTGTCTGTGTTCGGAAAAGATAAAAACGAACATGTTTGAAATCAAAAGGTAATCACAGTAGTTAAACATGTTACACAACTGCTGGATTTGTGCTCAAAGCTGGTGAAGGTCCAGTGATGTTTACTCGTGTGTGCTGGCTGGCTCACTGTCCTATCAGGTGGTGGCCAAGGTCTTCATTGTGCCCAGATCAACAGTCCAACGGGTCATCCATAAAGTTGTCCAGCGCATTTGAGGGAACCTGAAGAGACCCGTCTCTTTTCTTTTTTTGTGTGTGCAGTAGATGGCTGCCACGTAAGAGCCAAACCCCCTTCACTGCACAGTTTAGTCTCATTAAATCACCAAAGATTCTGCTCTATCAACATGCAGGACATTTGTGATTCACACGGATAATGAAGAACAGCTGGTTTTACCTGTCTCAACAATACCCTCCCCCAGCAAACCCACGTAATGCATGTGTGAACACAAATGTACGAGTGAGACGCTCCAGTTTCTGCGGATTCTCTCCGTCTGTAGAAATCCAGGAGAACGTGAAGCGAGTACACAGGAGGAGATCCTCCGCTGGGTTCACTGTGTTGATGTCGCTTCTAAAACGTGACAGACGCAAAAATGGAAACGGTGGAAAAGGCAATGACAACTGAGGTCAAAGACACTGATGAAGAGCGGCACAGATAATATTTCACTTCCTGTCTCTGTCCGCTGCACCCGGCTGCTCCACCTCTCGTCTGAATAATGCAGAGGATTTGATGCTGCTGTGAACACAACTGCTGGTAGACCTCCGGCTGTGTTGTGCATGTGTGGGAGGTGAACTGCTGGTAAACTCTGTAACCAATTCTCTGGATTTTACCTGAAGCTCATGTCTGAAAACAGCTTTAGTGGGTGATGGCATTCTTTCCCTGTTTGGAGACAGTCTGTCTCATCACTCCCTACAAGGTAGAGGGACGCTTCAATTTCCATCACTCCAAGATCGTCAAAGAGCCTTTGGAGTGATGAAAACAAGATGGAGGTCTCCCCTGCTCAGAGTCTGGGAGGTTAGGCCTCGACCCAATGCCACAATGGAAAAGCTGGCAGCCCTGCTCTCTGCTCTCTGCAAGCTCCACAGTGAAGAACCCTTTAAAAACTATTTTTAAATAATGTACAAAGAAAAGTAAGATTTCTTCATCGAAAATGTTTGAATTATGATTCACAAGGTCTCTGCATGTTTCAGCAAATTTATTTCAGGATTATGACCACTGAAAACCTATATAACATCTATACTGGCAAACAAGTACACGTACAGTTTTTATGAGTTCAGTGTAAGTTTGGTTTCGTACTTGTAACAGTAACTGTATCAATACAAGTTCTCCCCCAAAACACATACAAGCAAGACTAAAGCTGCATCCATTCATAAGCCTGATCACAATCAGGAATTTCTGTGAAATACTTTTCAGAGTTGACTTCGAACCTTCCTTCTGATAAAGCTTATACTTGGAGCAGCTTCAGCTCTTTCTCTGTCCAGCTTGTTATTTATGTTGCCACAGCTCTGGATTGTCGGGGGAGGGGGACCCATGACACACACAGCTTTAATGTCTCATCAACACGTTAATGACTTGACTTCTTCCTCGATCCATCCGCATGTGCAAACGCCAATTCATTTCTTTGTTTAAGGACTTAATCAGTTTGAGCATGAAGGAAATCATCCAGTTATGAGAATCAGCTGATTAATAACAGTTTATCTGTTTGTTATGTTGCAGTTAGCAGGATTATCAGCCCTAATAACGATTTTTATAAATTAACAAGCAATTCAGTAAAACACTGGACTGAGGCTGTGAGTGAAACCACTCCCTTTTTGTGGTGATTTAACCTAATGCAATTTTATTTGAGCGCCAAAATTCTAAATCTGAAAATGTAAGTACGACATCATGCTTACAGGACATTTGTAATATGTGCATTAGCTTATGTTCATGAACCCAAATTGTAATGCACCCGATGTTATTGTGAAGCCTGACAACACTACATGGTTGCTCAGCTGCAGAGTGAAACAGTGTGAATCGGTGGTGGAGCAGTGAACGAGTGGACAAGGGAGTGATTTCAGTCTCGGCCTCAGAATCCTGTTCAGCAACTAAGGTCAAAGGTCGGGGCGGGCCAGGCCTCAGCAGTCGGACTCGGTCATCCTCTCGGGCCGAGCCGACTGACAGGTGCTGGGTGGGGTGAAGACGTTGGGGTCGCTGATGCCCAGCTGGAGGTTGAAGAAGCGTGTAGAGGTGGTGACGCTGCTGTTCTTGGTGTAGGTCTCCTGCACGGGATAACAGCCCTTCAAGGTGTAAACGCCCACCCAGCTCTCATCTGGAGGAGACACAGACAAGACAAATAAGACGTTTGCACAGATGCAGATAACCATGAAGATTATTGTAGTTTCATAAACGTGCTTCTGAGTGGGTTTATGCTCCAGTCAGTATGTACTGGACGCACTAAAGGGCTAGAACGTGGTCCGTGTCCTTCGAAGGCACTGCACCTCCACCGCCACCTGCACCCATTGGACGGTACTAGCTGTCAATCACACTGTGGTATCCACGCCCCAACAAATAATTCATAAATGAACATGAGCTGTGTTGATGAAGACTTGAAACTAGAGATTGAGACATAAACTCCTGAGGACAAAGTATCCTGACGTTATAAAGTGAGAACTGGAGACATTTTCTATAGACTTCTATAGAAACTACCAGTTGAGTCGCCCCCTTCTGGTCAGTAAACAGAAGACAGGTTTCAGGTACATACACGTTTGTGTCACGAATGTCCGACACACTGTTGTACACAAACCTGCAGGCGGGGCATTAAAGACCAGGCTTACGTTTGCGTGCCGGCTTCCTGTCCGACCACTCCTGGACCTCCACGCTGTCCCCAGGGCCTCCGATGAAGTACTGGTCCTCGAACGTGGAGTTGTCAGGGATGTCGAAGGGATCCCAGCTGTCCGTCAGTGCGATCTTCGAGCAGTCTTTGGTCTTCTGGTCGATCTGGAACATCACCATGCTCTGGTACAGGTAGATGTACTCAAAAAACCTGGAGCAAGGCGAGACGACAGGCGTGAACGTTTTTTATGAACTGAGGAGACATGGAGTCGTATGCATTGTTAAAAAAAGAGGAGCTTCTTGGGAATTGACCGAGAGGAGAACTGAGACGGACAAGATTCACTTCATAGCTGCGTTTATTCATTCTTATTCTTATCTTATTCTTATCTTGTCTTAATATAATCTTATTCTTGTCTTGTCCTATTAAT